CGGGGGGGGGGGGGGGGGGGGCTGTGGCTGGGGACTCGCTGCGGGGGGTCTGGGGCGGTGACCTGGCGTGTCCCCAAGGCTCAGGGACACGGGGGGGGGCAGGGTGTGCCCGCGTGTCCCTCGTGCCCCGTGTCCCCCCCAGTCCCTGCCGCCATTTCCTCCTTTTTGGTACTTCGCTGTCAGTTTTATTAAAGGAGACAAAAACGGCTTTGTCCCTTGTGGTGAGCGCGAGGGGGGTTGGGGCTGGCTTCACCTGTGTCACCTGTGTCACCTGTGTCACCTGTGCCACCTGTGCCACCCTGTCGCCCCCCCCAGCCCAGTCCCGCCCGGTGCTGATGGTTTTCGATCTGCAAATCTCCATTTCCCCCCGGTCTGGGGCTGGGGGCGTGCGGGTGAGCGTGTCACACGCCTGTCACACGCGTGTCACCTTGCGCACGCACGGGGCCCTTCCTTGGTGCTGCCGGGAGGGGTCAGCAGAGCTGCAGGCAGCTGGGGGGGGGGCTGTGGGTGTGCAAGGGGGTCTGGGGGGGGTGCGAGGGGGTGTGCAGGGGCTGTGGGCGTGCAAAGGGGTTTTGGCTCCCTTGCACACGCGTGGACACCTCCCACCCTGCCACCCTGGGGTGGCACGCACCTGCACACCTCGTGCCCACGCGTGGGCACCTCCGACGGGCTGCCAGGGGTGTCACAGGATGTCACAGGGTGCCATGGGGTGACGTGTGGTGCCATGCGGTCCCATAGAGTGCCATGGCCAGGGGTGCCCTGTCCCCGTGCCCTGTCCCCGTGCCCTGTCCCTGGGTGCCCTGTCCCTGTGCCCTGTCCCCGTGCCCTGTCCCTGTGCCCTGTCCCTGTTCCCTGTTCCTGTGCCCTGTCCCTGTTCCTTGTCCCTGTTCCCTGTCCCCTGTTCCCTGTCCCTGTCCCTGTGCTCTGTCCCTGTTCCCTGTTCCCTGTCCCTGTGCCCTGTCCCCGTGCCCTGTCCCTGTGCCCTGTCCATGGGTGCCCTGTCCATGGTGCCGTGTCCCTGTTCCCTGTCCCCGTGCCCTGTCCCTGTGCCCTGTCCCTGTTCCTTGTCTCTGTTCCCTGTCCCCTGTTCCTGTTCCCTGTCCCTGTGCTCTGTCCCTGTGCCCTGTCCCTGTTCCCTGTCCCTGTGCCCTGTCCCTGTGCCCTGTCCCCGTGCCCTGTCCCCGGCTCTGTGTCTTTAAGCAGCGCTGTCCCTGGAGCCGCTGCATTGGCCGGTCCCTAATCCCCGTGTCCCTGAGCTGCCCTGGCTGTGAGGGCTGGGGCCGTCCTCGCTGGGCTGGGCCGTGTCTGTGTGTGTCCCTGCATGTCCCTGCCGTGTCTGTGAGTGTCCCTGCGTGTCCCTGCCGTGTCTGTGAGTGTCCCTGCGTGTCTGTGTGTGTCCCTGCGTGTCTGTGAGTGTCCCTGCGTGTCTGTGTGTATCCTCCATGTGTCCCTGTGTCCATGTGTCCATGTGTCCATATGTCCGGTGTGTCCATGTGTCCTGTGTATCCGTGTGTCCTGTGTATCCGTGTGTCCGTATGTCTGTGTGTCCATGTGTCCTGTGTGTCCATGTGTCTGTGTGTCCCGTGTGTCCCTGTGTCCCTGTGTCCGTGTGTCCGGTGTATCCTTGTATCCGTGTGTCCATGTGTCCATGTGTCCTGTGTGTCCGTGTGTCCGTGTATCCGTGTGTCCATGTGTCCATGTGTCCGTGTATCCGTGTATCCGTGTGTCCATGTGTCCTGCGTGTTTGTGTGTCCACGTGCCCATGTGTCCGCGTGTCCCGTGCAGAGCAGGCTGTGCAGGGCCGGTGTCCCCTGGCGGTCACTGTCACATGTGTGTGTGTGTGTGTGTGTGTGTGTGCGCAGGGTTCAGCGCCCGGCGCGTGCCGGCCCGCCTGGACGCCGTGGTCATCGGCAGCGGCGTGGGGGGCCTGGCGGTGGCCGCCACCCTGGCCAAGGCGGGCCGGAGGGTGCTGGTGCTGGAGCAGCACGAGCAGGCCGGGGGGTGCTGCCACACCTTCCAGCAGCACGGCATCGAGTTCGACGTGGGTGAGGAGCCCCGGGCAGCCCTGTCACCCCCTGTCACCTCCTGTCACCTCCTGTCACCCCCTGTCACCCCCTGTCACCTCCTGTCACCTCCTGTCACCCCCCGTCACCCCCTGTCACCTCCTGTCGCCCCCTGTCACCCCCTGTCATCTCCTGTCACCCCCTGTCCCTGCAGCCCCACTGTGAACCTGCTGCCAGCCCTGGTGTGTGCCCTGTCCCTACCATGTCCCTGTCCTGTCCCTGTGTCCCTGCCATGTCCCTGTCCTGTCACTGTCCTGTCCCTGCCATGTCCCTGTCCTGTCACTGCCATGTCCCTGCCCTGTCCATACTGTATCCTTGCCATTCCCGTGTCCTATCCCTGCCATGTCCCTCCCGGCTCTGTGTCTTTAAGCAGCGCTGTCCCTGGAGCCGCTGCATTGGCCGGTCCCTAATCCCCGTGTCCCTGAGCTGCCCTGGCTGTGAGGGCTGGGGCCGTCCTCGCTGGGCTGGGCCGTGTCTGTGTGTGTCCCTGCATGTCCCTGCCGTGTCTGTGAGTGTCCCTGCGTGTCTGTGTGTATCCCTGCCGTGTCTGTGAGTGTCCCTGCGTGTCCCTGCCGTGTCTGTGAGTGTCCCTGCGTGTCCCTGTGTGTCCGTGAGTGTCCCTGCACGTCTCTGTGTGTCCCTGCCGTGTCCCTGCCGTGCCCACACACAGCCACACGCAGTGACAGCCATGTGGCCCATGCTGCTGCCGCTGCTGCCGGTGGCCCTGGCCGTGCTGGCCCTGGCCCGGGTGGCCCATCGGCTGCTGGCCCCGTCCGGCAACCCCTTCGCAGGGCCACCCCCGGGGCCACCGCGGCCTCTGGTGACCGACCAGCGCGCCCGGGACAGGGTCCTGAAGCAGGGTGAGTGTGTCTGTGTGTCCGTGTGTCTGTGTGTCCGTGTGTCTGTGTGTCCGTGTGTCTGTGTGTCCCTGTATCCGTGTGTCCATGTGTCTGTGTGTCCGTGTGTCTGTGTGTCCTTTGTGTCCATGTGTCCTGTGTGTCCATGTGTCCATGTGTCCCTGTATCCATGTGTCCGTGTGTCTGTGTGTCCGATGTGTCCGTGTGTCCCATGTGTCCATGTGTCCGTATGTCCCTGTATCCGTGTGTCCGTCCATGTGTCTGTGTGTCCTTTGTGTCTGTGTGTCCGGTGTATCCGTGTGTCCATGTGTCCATGTGTCTGGTGTATCTGTGTGTCTGTGTGTCCGCCTGTCCCTGCTGTGTCCCTGCTGTGTCCCTGACCTGTCACAGTCATGTCACTGCCCTGTCCCTGTCCTGTCACTGCCCTGTCCCTGCCCTGTCCATACTGTATCCTTGCCATTCCCGTGTCCTATCCCTGCCATGTCCCTGTCCTGTCCCTGCTGTGTCCCTGCTGTGTCCCTGACCTGTCACAGTCATGTCACTGCCCTGTCCCTGCCATGTCCCTGCCCTGTCCCTGCCCCATCCATACTGTGTCCCTGCCATTCCTGTGTCCTGTCCCTGCCATGTCCCTGTCCTGTGCCTGCCATGTCCCTGCTGTGTCTCTGCTGTGTCCCTGCTGTGTCCCTGCCCTGTCACTGTCATGTCACTGCCCTGTCCCCGCCATGTCCCTGCCCTGTCACTGCCCTGTCCCCGACATGTCCCTGCCCTGTCCATACTGTATCCCTGCCATTCCCGTGTCCTATCCCTGCCATGTCCCTGTCCTGGGCCTGCCATGTCCCTGCTGTGTCTCTGCTGTGTCCCTGCTGTGTCCCTGCCCTGTCGCTGTCATGTCACTGCCCTGTCCCCGCCATGTCCCTGCCCTGACCATACTGTATCCCTGCCATTCCCGTGTCGTATCCCTGCCGTGTCCCTGCCATGTCCCTGCCGTGTCCATACTGTATCCCTGCCGTGTCCCTGTCATTCCCAGACCCCACCCCCGTCCCTCAGTGCCACACCAGGCAAAGCCAAACCCTTCCCTCCCCAGCTGCTCCCTCCACGTGTCCACGCCCCGTCCCCACTGTCCCCCACCGTGTCCCCTGTCCCCACGCCACAGGCATCCACTGCGTGGGGCAGCTGCACGAGGGGAGCCTCCTGCGGGTGGCCCTGGACCAGGTGACAGACGGGCAGCTCTGCTGGCACCGCCTGCCTGACCCC